ATCTATCTATCTATCTATCTATCTATCTATCTATCTATCTATCTATCGCCTTTGCCATTGCAAACAGAAATATCAACTAAACATTGTTCCCCTTTATATGTTGTATATCAGGAGAAGAAATAATACATTGTTTACAAATTTACACCTCTTATTTATACTATTGAATTACTGTAGTGCATTTTATCAAAGGTAACTTCTGAACAATATATGGAACTTCAGCTCGTTCAAAATGCACAGGAAAATACATTGAATAGGTTTGTTTAATATTCATGTTTTGGCATTTAATGTGTTTTTTTTTTCATGTTTCCTCTACTCAACAGAGGAATCCTGCTCTCTCTTTTTCTTGTACTCTTATTTGTTTTGTTTTGTTTCTTTAGTGGGTTGGAAAGAATTTGTCAGGAAATATACACTCCAAATGTAAAGATGTAATTTTTTTTATTTGAACCCTATTGCTATTTTTATATGAACCCTATTAAAAAGGAATGCACCAATTAAAGAAGAATGTTGGGATTTAGACATCACCTAAATACATATAAATATTTACATGCTATACTGGATCATTTATTTTATGTAGCATGCAGAAGATGTAGCAGCACATTATAATAAGCTTGAAGAGGTTGGATTGGAACAACGTAGCACGAGTCGCATCTTCTATCTCCGAAACTTTAACAATTGGATAAAGAGCGTGCTGATTGGTATGTCTGTACATTAAAAACAGTTTAAAATATCTATAATTCACACATTCACTTTTTGGGATTGATTAATTTCTAAATTCCAAATATTAGATTATATATTGCAAAATTAATGATTGCACAAAAATATTACTGCATTCTTCACTGTTGGTCTATAGTGCAAGCATTGTACATATTTGTAAGAGCATTTTCTTGTTTATCATTTTAGTCTACAAATGTGAGATTATAGTCATATATATATGACTATAATATAACTTATATATTATGTGATTAAAAATGATACTTTTTGTCAAAAGTACATCTCGGTCCAGACTAGTCATCCTTGGATATTATAAAATTAATCATTGAAATTCTGATAATTCAGTGATGAAATTAACTTTATTAACATTTAGCAGATAAAATAGAAACAGTTTGCAGTGAATTAAGTTTTCATGTGGTACAGTTGTATACACTTAACTACAGAACATTCCATTGAGCAGAGTGAAACTAACTTCTGAGATGAAAACTCAAGATCTGTGCATGTGAATGATGATTTTCTTTTTCTCTCATACCTCTCAAAGATAGAAACAATTGGCTGGAGCTGTAAAGCTCTCATAATCATCAGGAAGCTATATTCTAATAAAGAGAGAACATTTCATTTTCTCAAGATTATAATTTTTTCTCTTAGGTGAATTCCTTGATAAGGTACGACAAAGACAACAAAACATTACAGTGTTAGACTTGGGATGTGGTAAAGGTGGGGACTTGCTGAAGTGGAGAAAAGGCCGAATAAGTAAACTTGTATGTACAGGTAAGAACAGCAAATTAATTTGTTTTGGGAATCATGTTAAATGGGTGAGATCTGTTAAGCCTGAATTCCCCAACGAGTGTTAAGGAAAACAAACTAAAC